CCAGCCTTCACTTCAGGACCTCTTGTTAGAGGGAACCCACTATTTTCAAAAGCTGCCTATTCCGCTTCTGGGTAGCTCTGATTATTAGGAAGTTTGTTATATTGAGTCTAAATCTTTTCTCTCTTAAGTTTTCCTCCTAGTTCCCTTTTCTGCAGAATTAAATGACCCTTCAGGCACTTTCAGATAATTAGAAGGGCAGCTAGGTAGCACAGTGGATAGAGCACCAGCCCTGGAATCAGGAGGACCTGAGTTCAAATGTAGCCTCAGACACTTAACAGTTACTAGCTGTGGGAACCTGGGCAAGTCACCCCAATTGCCTCATCAAAAAAAAAAATCTAGCAGGTAATTAGAGGTATCACTGCCACTCTCCCCCCTCCACCCACATTCTAATTCTTCTCTTTTCTAGGATAAACACTTTTAGTTCCTTCATCCAGCCTTGATGTGATCTTAAGGCTCTTTGCCATCTTGGCCACCATCTTATGGAATTTATCATGGGCTTTCTAGATAAGCTAAAAGTAAACACAGTATTTAGAAATGTCTGACCGAGGTAGAATATAAAGGCTGTATGTTAGCATATAGTCTTTTAAAAACTTGTTTTTTATTGAAATGCCTTATTATATTAATTTCTCATGTTTCAACCATTCTCACATTCTAATATAAATGCTACTTGGTTGTACTTTTCTTCATATGATGCTGTAATCTTTTCCAGTCTTTTATTTAACATTTTTGTGTAATTATTACTTGATTTTATTTTTATATAATTTTCTTTTTATGGTTTACTCATGTGAAGTTTAGGAATCAAGCCTATTTTTGCCTCAAAATAAAACTGGGTGCTTGAAATAGTTAAATTATCTTTGCCATTTTTTAAAAAAAATACTGGACAGCCAACCAAACTTATTTTACTACTGGAAAAATAAATCTTATCAAAAAACAAATTTGTTAACCAAACTTTTAAAAATCCACACTTAGCTAGATCCCTATATGTGTTATTAAATATGTAAGTTTTTTTAACTCTGGACTGAAAGGAAGAATGTACAAAATACTACTAAGTGAGAGGGTAAAGTTCATTAACAATTCAAGGGTGGAGGTAGAATCAGGAAAGCCTCCCTCAGTTTTTATTGCTCACCTTCATCCCTGAAATTACTTGGATTAATTTTTTTAATGTACTTTAAATTTACCTCTGTACAAGTTGTCCCCCTCTAGTATAATTGTAAACTCTTCGAGTTTAGGGATAATTGTGCTTTTTTTTTCCTGTGCTGAACACAGTGCCTAGCAGATAGTAGGAGCTAAATTAATTCTTGTTTAATTAAAACGAATCATTGTGAGGTGGTACCTGAGGTTTGCTTTGAAGGAAGCTAGGGATTCCAAGACCTTAGAGAGAAGGAATGCATCCCAGGCACAGGAAACAGCACAGAACTTGGAGGGAGATGGAACGGAGAATGCACGGTGAGTAATACTTAATAAGATTTGAAAAGTAGATGGGACCCAAATAATAGCTTTAAAGCCAAGCTGAAGACTTTATATTTTATTCTAGAGCCAGTAGGAACCCATTGAAGGTTTTTGAGACTTCTTAACTGAAATAGGAAGGTTTAGTGGAGAAAAGGTCTGGGTAACATATAATATGCTCTGTTGTGGTGATGTTGATTTTGAATTGCCTTTGAGATATTGTAGTAGGACCATTCTGTATCATTTTGTACACGGGCTATTTCTCTAAGTTCTAGGAGTTTTTAAAAAAGGAGTCTTGATCAGTTTTTCTTACCCATTTCAATTCTGACATTTGACAGCAAAGACCTTTCCAAATTAGTGATCATGTTGTAAGTAAGTATCCGTACTGTGGAGGGATAAGGAGAAAACCCACACATGAGACATAAATGTCCACTTGAGGTTTATTAAAGGGCATTCTTTACAGCCAGATGAAGGGGATGCTTCCGATCTGCAAGTCCATGTTCAGATTAGGGTTCTTGAGAGATGTGTGGCAGTTCTTCCAGACTGAGATGGTGGTAGCTGTTCTTCTAAAGATGTTTTTCCAGCTTTTTCCTTTTATAGAGGAAAAATCCCATCTCTGATGTGTGTCATTCTGTTACTTAATGAACTCCAACGATTCTCCTTTGCTTTTAGAACCAAATATAAACTCTTCATTTAGGCTTTTAAAAACTGGCACAGGGGCAGCTAGTTGGCACAGTGAGTAGAGCAGCGGCCCTGAAGTCAGGAGGACCTGAGTTCAAATCTGGCCTCAGACCAAACACTTGATACTTACTAGCTGTGTGATCCTGCGAAAGTCACTTAACTCCAATTGCCTTAAAATTTTTTTTTAAATTAAAAAAAAAAAACCTGGCACAACCTTAGTTCAGTCTACCTTCCCAGCCTTATTATGCTTATACTTTTATCTGCACTCTCTAAACCAGCCAGCCTAGCCTTCTTGCTTTTCTTCATATATGACAATCCATCTTTTTCTTTTCTCCTTTTGCATTATATTTGTAGTACAGTGAGAGGTAGCATGCAAAGTTACACTAGCCCATGAGTAGGAGACCTGGGTTCTTGGCTTAGTTTTGCCATTGATCAATTCCATAACATTAAGCAAGTTATTTGACTTATCTTGCCTCAGTTTCCTAATTTCTAAAATGAAGGGATAGTAGAAGAGAGGTTCCTGTGATCCTTTCCATTTTTAACATTTTATTTTTATATGGTTAATCTTTGTTACTAATTATCATTAAACACTCTTTGTTGTGAGATGAGTGGAAAGGTAGCATAGGAAAGATATTTGGTGATATTCTAATTCCATCAGGTATGTTCCTGTGCCTACTGGACCCTGTTCCTTATTTTATTTTATTTTTTTCTGGCAGCACATCTCTTTCTTTTTTAATTAATTAATTTAGTTTTAGTTTTCAATATTTCCTTCCATAAGATTTTGAATTCCAAATTTTCTCACCCTCCCTACCCTCCTGCCTCCCCAAGACCATGTGCAATCTGATATAGGCTCTACATATACATTCATATTAAACATATTTTCACATTTGTCACATTGTAAAGCAGAATTAGAACCAATGGGAGGAACCACGAGAAAGAAGAAACAGAGAGAGAGAGAGAGAGAGAGAGAGAGAGAGAGAAGAGAGCGAGAGCGAGCGAGAGCGAGCGCACAAATAGTATGCTTCGATCTGCATTCAGACTTTATGGTTCTTTTTCTGGATGTGGATAGTATTTTCCATCATGGGTCTTTTGGAATTGTCTTAGATCCTTGCATTGCTGATAAGTCTGTCAAAGTTAGTCATCATACAGTGTTGCTGTTACTATGTATAATGTTCTTCTGGTTCTGCTCTCTTCACTCAGCATCAGTTCATGTAAGTCTTTCCAGGTTTTTCTGGAGTCCACCTGCTCCGTCATTTCTTATAGAACAATAGTATTCCATTACATTCTTGTACCACAGCTTGTTTAATCATTTCACAATTGATGAGCAGCCCTTTAATTTCCAATTCTTAGCCACCACAAAAGGAGATGCTGTAAATATTTTTGTACATATGGGTCCTTTTCCTTTTTTTTTTTTTTTAGCCTTTTTGGAATATAGATCTAGCAGTGGTGTCACTGGATCAAAGAGTATGCACAGTTTTATGGCTCTTTGTGTATAGTTCCAAATTGCTCCCCAGAATGGTTGGATTAGTTCACAACTCCAACAATGCATTAGTGTTCCAATTTTCCCACATCTTCTCTTACATTTATCATTTTCCTGTTTTCCCATGTTAGCCAATCTGATAAGTGTGAGGTGGTACCTCAGAGTTGTTTTGATTTGCATTTCTTTAATCAGTAGTGATTTAGAGCATTTTTTTCATATGACTATAGATAGCTTTAATTTCTTCACCTGAAAACTGCCTTTTCCTATCCTTTGACCATTTTTCAACTGGGGAATGACTTGTATTCTTATAAATTTCTCAGTTCTTTATATATTTTAGAAATGATGACCTTATTAGAAACATTGGTTTTAAAAATTCTTTCCCAGCTTTCTGGGAGCTTACTATTTAATAATGTTGGGACATTGATATAGTGCTTTAACCTTTAAAAAATACTTTGTGTTCATTCTTTCATTTGTTTCTCATATTAACCCTATAGCTGTAGGTAACTGTAGGCCTTAATTAAATGCCCTTTTTTTAGTTGAGGAAACTGAGGCTCAGAGGGTAAGTGACTTGCTTAAAACTAAACAGCTAGTAAGTGAGAGATGTAGCATTTGAAAAAAGGTCTCACAAGGTAGTAAGTGGTAGAGGTAGTAAGAGGTAGATGACTTGCATATAGTTAGTTCTTGTAATTTATTACACTATTTACCAACTGTTGTTACACTTCTAGCTAAAGTGTATTCTGATTTAAACCACATTTGGAATATACTTAGATGGTCATTACAGATAATCTCTATAGAATGAATGGTAATTTTTTTCAATCAAAAAATTTGTCTAGGTTTCTAAATCTAAGAAGTGATTAAAAGTGATCTTTAATAGATAATTATAGTAGCTAGCATGTAGCCTTTATAAAGCATTTTACATATATTTTGATCCTCACAATAACCCTGTGATATAGATGCTATTATTATCCTCATTTTACAGATGAGGAAACTGAGGCTTAGAGAGGTTAAGTAACTTGACCAGGATCACACAATTAGTAAATGTCTGAGGCATGATTTGAACTCAGGTCTTTTTGTTTGTTTTATCAAATAAATTATTTTCATTTAATTCAGCTCATAAGGAGCATTACAATTTTAGAATTTTACAATTCTCTTATGTAAAAATACCAAGATTTCCTGATGTTGTGATCACTACAACTTAAGTTTAATAAGCGAGTCTATTTCAAAATGTATTATTTCCTTTTCAAAATAGATTCTTTGCATAGCCCAGTATGATTTCAACTGAATAATTCTTTTGCAAATTGAATATAGAATACAGTTTTTAAACATATATATGTTTTATACATGTATATATATAAGTGATTTTGTGTACTTTTTTCCTTATTTTTTTCTTTAGATGGGTCTAGGAAAAACAATTCAAGCAGTTGCCATAGCTTATTTTTACAAAAACGAATGGCCTCTTTTGATAGTTGTTCCTTCATCTCTGAGATACCCTTGGACAGAGGAGATTGAGAAATGGGTTCCAGAACTGGGACCACAAGAGATCATTATTATTCAGAATAAAACTGATGTTGGGTAAGAACAAGTTAAATATAATGTAATCAAAATTATCCATTTTGCATTTAATAATGTTCTCTATCTCTTGTTTGATCATAAATTTTTCCATCTCCATATATCTGATAGGTAAACTATACACACACACACACACACACATATATATATATATTTCAATGTGTAGGAAATATGTGCTTGTTAAAAAGTTTATAAAGTGTCTCTGAGTAACTTATAAAATTTGATGCCTTTATATTCATTTTCTAATCAGTATGGACATTTGTTCTGTATGATGGAGTTTTAGCAACTTTTGATGGACATAGGTAGTTAATTTAATTTATGCAGTAATGCTTACAAATATTTCCAGTATTTTAAGGTATTTTATTAATTTATATATTTATTATATATTTTATGTATTCTTATTATTATATATAAAATATTTTATTTCATTTTATTACAAAACCTCTTTTCCTAATTTAATTTTGCATCCCCTTATATTAAATTTATTTGTGAATAATCTGGCTTAATGCTTAAGTAAATAAAATAGCCATGCAAATTTACGTTTCTAGAGCCTATATGTGAGGTTATACCTTTCCCAACCTTAGGTGCCTGGTTACTTGGGGAATATTTAAAAAGAGATAATAGCTAATGGGTTGTAGAAATATAGAGAGCTGGTTGAAATTTAACAACATAAATATGCATTTCATTATGAAACCAAAAAGCTTTTAAAGTTGTATGTGAGGTTGAAAGAGTATGGGGAAAATGAATTAAAAACAAACAGTACACAGTTTGCTGTTTTCTGTATAGTTGGTTACTAACTTTTAAAATTGGTACTAAGAATTGAAAGATTGTAGAATTCATAAGGGTGTAAGGAACTTTGATTATTTCTAGCCAACATAAATTGTATTGTTGTTAAACACATATCAATGTCATTTTCTTCTTAGTCATATTTTAGTCACATAACCATATTATTATGTACTATAATGCATAAAGAAAAAATAAAATTTTTATTCATATTTAAACATTTATTAAATTAAATTATTTTATCAAATTAAATTTAAAAATTTTATTAAACTAAAATATTTATAATGCTCAAATAAAAAATAATTTTGTTTGATTCACATAAAGATTACCCTCCCTCTAGACATGCCCTGGTTGTATATGAAGTCATTATTTATAATTTCTTCAGTATTTTGTTTCCTAAATAGAAAGAGAAAATCATAAATCCTCTTACCGTAGCCAGTCAGAACTCAAAAATTCTGACTGCTTTGTTGCCATTAACAATTATGTATTCTAGTTTGACTGTTAGAAAGCAGAGAGCTGAATAATATTGTCTTCACTGTTCATAAAGAAAAAATGTTGAAGTAGTATCCATCATTTAGAGTTAGCCATCATCTGTGCAAAGCTATGGTGTTCTTCTGTTTTCTTAATAACAAAATGAAATAGAAGTGAATTTTTATTGTCATCATGAACTAGTAAATTCATTTTTTTATGTGATTAAATGAATAGATTAAAAATATTTCCCAGGAATAATTTTTATATTATAAGAATTTCTCTTATTGAATATTATTACTTTTCAGCTGTAGTTTAAGCAATCAAAGCTTCCAATTCTAGATTCTTTTCTCTTAGACTAAGGATACATAAAGTCTTCATAATCCTTTTTCTCCCCAAAAATAGAATTATAGCCTCTAATTTTCTTTTTTTTTTCTCTTCCCCTTTATTTCTCTTCCCTCCAACAATAGTTATGTTTTCCTTGATCAATTGATAATTGACATTTTTTTTAAACCTCTGTTTTCTTTCCTAGGAGAATATCAACCAGCAAAGTGACAATTCTAGGTTATGGTCTATTAACTACAGATGCGAAGCTTCTGATAGACACTCTATACAAACAGAACTTTAAAGTCATTATAATAGATGAATCACACTACATGAAGTCCAGAAATGCATCCCGAAGCAAGATTTTGTTGCCATTAGTACAGAAATCTCGAAGAGCCATTCTTCTTACAGGCACTCCAGCTTTGGGAAGACCTGAAGAGGTATTAAAAATAGAAAGTGTGTGTGTGTGTGTGTGTGTGTGTGTGTGTGTGTGTGTGTGTGTTTCCAGGAGAGTTAATTGAATCAATGACCTACTGTTTTTGTAACGTGTTTTTAAGTTTAGATAGCTTAGAATCCCAGAGAGAATTCCTTAGTACTTTTGCTTAGAGACATAATAATGATTATAAAGTATCTTATAATGAACATTCTTGAATAGATTTAGCATGTGGGCCTACACAGTAGGTGCAGGCAAACATTTATTGTATCTGTTTTCCATAAGGCTTTGTATATAGGCACTGAGGATACAACAATAACAAAAATTCTGGGTTTTTTTTTTAAACAGTACTTATCTTCAAGTAGCATACATTCTATAGTCGAGGTGAAGGCAGGACTGGGGACAAAGCAGGAGGAAAATGAGTTTTACATAGAGATAATATAGAAGATAATTTATAGAAGGAGAAATTACCAACAAACCAGCAGATTACAGTATGTTTCATGGAAGATGTGGTATCTTTATTTATGAAGTACGTTAAAGATTTTAAGAGGAAGAATGCACTGTCATAGGGATAGAGAAAGGAGGTGCAGTGCGAGTTTGAGGAGCAACAAATATTCAACTTTACCTGGAACATGAGTGAATAAATACGCTAGAAAGTTGGAGCCATTTTATGGAGCATCCTAAATACTATGTAGAAGAGTTTTTATTTTATTATAGAAGTAATAGTGAGCCACTAAGTTTTTGAGCAGGAAAGTGATACGGTCATGTCATACCTGTGCTTTAGGAAGATTATTATGGCAACTGTATAGATGATATATTAGAGATGGAATATTATGGAAGCAGGGAGATTAATTTGGATGCTATGACAGTGTATTATAGGAGAGATAATAAAGTTTGGTACTAGAGAATAGCCATATGAATGAGAAGAGTGGCAGAGACAAAAAAGATTTTGTGGAAGTACAATCAGTAGTATTTGGCCACTAACTGGATATGGTGGGAGAAGAAAGGGAGAGGAAAAAAAATCAAAGATGACTCTAAAATAAAGCTTGGTGACTAAAAGAATGGTTATGTTATCAACAGAAGTAAAAAAAAAAGAGGCTTAGAGGAGAGCAGCTTTGGCACTGTTGACCATTTTTTTTCCTACTGCATACTCTCTCTGGATTTTCATGACTCTTCCTTCTCAGTCTCCTTTACTGGATATTCATCCATGTCATACCATGTCAGAAACCATAGTTCTGTCCTGGGCCTTCTTTATGTGTAAATGGCTTTATGTGTGTGTGTTTGTGTATGAAAAGCCTGTCTGTTCATCTTATTTAATCTCCCAAAACTCTCTCCCCTGAGCTTTAATACATATCACCAGTTGTCTGTTAGAAATTTCAAACTAGATACCTGTTAGACATCTCAAATTCAACATGTCCAAAACAGAATTCGTTGTCTGCTCTACTACTCCCCCTCTCCCCAGATTATGACTTCTGAATTTGCTTCTTATCTTGTGGACATTGCCACTTACCCAAAATCATGATTTCAGTGTTGTCTTTGACTCTTCAGTGTTGCTCAGCCTACATAGCTAATCATGGCCAAACCTTGCTATTTTTTCTCCACAACTTCTTTCCACTCATGTAGTTGCCACTCTTGTTCAAATTCTCTATCAAGTCTCTTCACTCTCATCCATTTTCTACGTAGGTGCTGAAGTAACAACCTTGACTGTAGGTCTGCCAATAGCTCCCTGTCAACCCTGCCCTCCCCCACCCCAACTCCAATAATTCCCTATTACCTCTAGGATCAAATATATTGTGCTTTGTTAGTTATTTAAAGCTCTTCACAATATGGCCCCTTCCTTCCTTTCAGTCTTTTTATATAGAACTTCCATGCATTTTACAGGTCTATGTGCTGTATTTCACATATATAGTGTTCCATCTCCTGGCTACCTTTGCAATGGCTGTCCCCCATGTCTGGAGTACTCCAGAGTCCACCTCTTAGAACCCCTGGCTTCCATTAAGACTTAGATCAAGCATCATTTTCTACTAGAGGCCCTTCCTGGTCTGTCTATTAAAATATAGCCTTCCCCTCTAAAGCTCCATTTCACCTACTTAATATATCTCTTGTATGTAGCAGTTCATGTACATGTTGGATTTTCCATTGAAATGTAAATTCCTTCAGGGTAAGAACTTTTTTTCCTTTTTCTTTGTATCTCCAGTACTTTAAATACAGTGCTTGGAACGCAATAAGTCCTTAATAAAAGCTTGATTGATAGAAGAGTAAAGATGATGGCTCTGTTTTGTCTGTGTTGAATTTGATAATACTAATAGTTGTTGATTGATCATTGGAGTCCAGGGAGAGAGGAGAGTTTCATAGATTTGGGAATCATCTACTTAGAGATGGCAATTGTGAGTGAGTTAGTCATCAAGCATGTATTAAGGGCATATTATATACCAGATATATTGCTAAGCTCCATTCTAATGGTGATAGCATGCAAAAAATTTGGACATAAAATATGTGTCGTGTACTATGTAGTAAAACCAAACTACTAAAGGAAAGTATTGCTGTTGTTGCCCATCCTGTAAATACTTAGAGATTTCTTTATAGTAACATTCCATTTTTCCAAAAGCTTTTTTTCTACATAGAGCAGCCAAAGAATGACCATATACCAAGACACTCTCAAGAATATGAAGCTATAGAGCACCATATACATGTTTGGAATATCTAGGGGTATCTATGAGCATTCAGCAGCAATGGAAAACATTTTCTGTAGTTTGAACTGATTGTAGGATTAAAACTTTTTGGTGTCTTGGTAGGAAAGACTTAAGTGCTAGAAATACTTTTCTCTCAATTTTTAGTGAAATATTCTTCATACTTCATGAAGCATTTTAAAAACATGAAGCTAAAGTCATTTTAGTTTCCACTTCTCATATATTAGGATAAATTAATCTGTGAAAGAAAGTGAATTTGCTTAGTGATTGAAAAAATGCTGTTTGACCCTAACTCTGAGGTGTTAGCATATAAGTATGAGTTATACAGCAGGATTATATGGATCAAAGATTGTTTCAGACGTCACTGGCTGGGAGAACAGTGCTGTTATTGCTACACAAGGTACTTGGGACCAGAAACTAATGCATATGTTAAATGGGGGGGCCCAAGTGAAGGGTAATAACTTTGGAACACAATTGAGTTTGGGATGATAGTGGATGAGAAGGAAAGGAGCAGGATTACAAGCCTTCAGGCTCCTAAGGTCTCTTACTAAAGGGATGCTGTGGGAAATAGGATATTTTCTTCAGCCTGCTGCTTATTGTTGAAGCTTCTATAGCTATCAGCCCTCTGGTAAGTCAGAGACCTCTGGGCACTTTCCCCTCCTCCTGCAGGGTTAATTCAAACCACAAATGTCTTGAGTGTTTTCAAAGTGTAGATGACCCTGTGGCTTAAGTTAGTTATCATTGGCATAGTCACAGATAATGTCTTCTTTTACTTTTCCCCAACAATCTGCATCCCTGGGATCTACTGCAACTCTTTCAAAACAAAGATTGGCTCTATCACAACAATCCTGTGATCAGAAAAATTATTGTTGGACTTGACCCAAAACCAGAGTTTCATATATCCTACCTTTTATTTCCAGGTCTTAGCTCAGGCCATGAACCTCAGACCTAAGTACCTATCTGCCAGGATTCAAATTAGCACCTGCATCTTAAATACTAGCTCTCTTAATTCTAGGATCGGGGTCCCAGACCTCTAAGCTGTGGGACCAGAGCCTCCAACAACAGTCCCATCACCTTAAGGAACCATCGTAGGATCAAAAATTACACGCTTTCCTTGACATTCACTTTGCCAAGATATTTTTCTCTATCTAGGTCTTGATGGCAATTAAGGACTAGCCCCCTATCATTTTCCTTCGTTTTTCAAAAAGGTGACAAACTCTTACCCCTATACTAAGGGACTTCAACATACACGTTTCTTCAGATGCCTTGGCCCTTCAGGTCCTCAACACCTATGACCTCCTCCTTCACTCTACAAAGGGAAGATTCATCATCCATCACTGCAGTTGTTCCACTTTCAGGAGCAAGAATTCTGAAATTCTACTCTCTGACATAATCTGATTAGTCCAACTTCCCTGTGCCTCATTCCTTCCAAACCTCTTCTTCATGCTCACCATGACCTCCAGTCCCTCTCAATATTCTAACAGGCCATCACCTCAATTCTGGCTTTACTTTCCTCCCTTCCCACTCTTAACCAGTCCCCTTGTCCAGTCATAACATGACCACCCCAATTCTGAATTATTTCCACCATTTGCTTTTCCTAATTACTTAGTGTGGTGCAGGGGAAAGTTGTACAACCATGTTGACTGGCTCTACTACAGATTTACGTGATCTGATCTCAGCTGGGCCCTTCCAGCAACAATGCAATTCTTTTACTATTCCCTAATTAATTCTCTGTATCACTACCTACGACGTCTATTCTAAACCTTTTCTTTTGCCCTTATGTATCTCTCACCATCTCCCCACCCTCTGCCCCACCATTGCAGTAGAGTACTTTGCCTCATACTATACTGAGAAAATAGAAACTATTAACCTTGAGCTTCCTTTTCTCTCTACTCTGTATCTCATGATTCCTTGACATCTTTGCCTCATCTCTCTTCCTTTACACTCTGATGAAGATGTTAGTCCTTTTTCCTTTTCTTCTTTCTAAGGTCAACCCAACTTCATGTGCCCTTGATTCCATCCCCTCCTATCTCTTACTGTAGATTTTCCTTATAATCATTGCCCTAAGACACCCATTTTTATATTTCTTACTATTTATTGGCTCCTTCCTGGCTGCTTTTGAACATCCCTGGGTCTCCTTATCATTAAAAAACTCTCACTTGATCCTGCCTTGCCTCCCTTTCACAACCAAATTTCCAGAAAAAGCCTTTTACTTTCCTTGTTTCCAGCCCTTCCTCTCTTATTCACTTCTCAGCCATTTGCATTCTGGCTTCAAACCCCGTCACTCAACTGAAATTACCTTTTCCAAAGTTACCAGTGATCTCTTAATTGCCAAATCCAAGGGTCTTTTTCCAATCTTTATCCTTGATCACTATAGGATTTGTCGCTGTGACCACCTTCTCCTGTATATGAGAGCAGTCTCCCGTTCTCTGTGTTTTCATAACAACAGTCTCTCCCAGTTCTACACCTCAGTTAACTATTCCTTCTCAGTCTTCTTTGGTATCATAGCATCCATATCTTGGCCTCTAACTGTAGGCATGTCCCAAGGCTCTGTGCTCAACTCTTTTCTCTATGCTTTTTGTCTTTATAAGCTCATTAGCTCTCATACGCTTATTTATCATCTCTTCACAACGGTAGAGGGCTCCAAGATCTATATATCCCATAATCTCTACATATCCTACAGTCTCTATATATCCTGTAGTCAATATAGCCCTAGTCTCTCACTTGTGCCCCAGTCACCAGCTGCCTGTTGGCGACTCTTTCTGCCAATTCTGCCAACATTTCAAACTGTGCTACCATAGTCATTTCAAACTCAACAGATCTAAAACCAAACTCATTCTCTTTCTCCTCAAACATTTACCTCTAACATCTCGATTTCTGTGAAGGGCATCACTGTACTTCTGGTTGCCCAGGTTAGCCACCTAAGTCTATCAGCAACTCCCATCTCTACCTAATTTTACATATCCAAACAATTGCCAAGCCTTTTTGTTCTGACATTTACATTTCTTGTATTTGTCTACTCTCTACCCACAGCTCTTAGAGCTTCTGCCCTAGATCTGGGTCTTATCACCTATCTTGAGTGGAGAGACCATCCTCCACACAGCTACCAAAGTGATTTTCCTGAAATGCAGTTTTTACCATGTCGTTCTCCTCATCAGTAAACTCCGCTGGCTCCCATTATTTCTAAGTCAAATACAAACTCCTTTGTTTGACATTTAAAACCTTTTCTATTTTGACTCCAGCCTACCTTTCTAGACGTTACACATTTCTCTCCTTCTTGTACTCTGTGGTCTAGTCAAACTAGCTTTCTTGATACTTTTCCCACACAGCATTCCATCTCTAGTGTCCATGTGTTTGCACAAATTGCCCTGCCATGCCCAAATGTACTCGCTTCTCACCTCTCCCCTTAGCAGCCCTACCCAGCTTCTTTGAAAGCTCAGCTCAAGTGCTAACTGCTTCCTACAAGAGGCCTTTCTTGATACTCCTCAGCTTTATAATGCATTTCCCTGAAATTACCCTGTATTTCTTTTGTGTATATCCTACAAATGTGTACCTGATTCTCTCCTCCACCCTTCAAAAAATTAAATTCCTTGCTGGAGGGAGAGTTTGATTTTGTCTTTGTATCTCTAGTGCCTAAGACGTAAAGTAATATCTCATATAATAAATGGTTGTTGATAGACTGCTACTAAAATGCCACGTATTTTTGGTTGATGATGGAAAAATTCTAAGTTATTGTTTGAAGAGATTTTAAAATACTATTAATATAGTAAGCTTAAAATAATTTAGGTTAAATTAAAAGTATGACTATTAAAGTATTCTTGTTATTGTTTTTAGCTTTTTATGCAGATTGATGGACTTTTCCCAAAACAATTTGGAACATGGACTGAATATGCAAAAAGATACTGTAATGCTCATATCAGGTACCTCTCCTAAACATCTTCTCTGTATGTTTGTCTGTCTCTTTCTCTCTGTCTTATAAATGTATGTTTTACATTATTTACACACAAATATATTATATAGACACATACAGATACACATGTATATCACATACACACATTCAGATATAGATTGAGTTATATAGCTGCTGTAGGATTGTGAATAGAACATATTCGTCAATGGCTTTCTCATTCATGTCAGTTGTTGAATGATGCAATAAATTACAATCTCATTAAATTCATATATAAGCTGATGTATATGATTTAGACCTAGGATCTTAACTCTGAGGGATCTTAAAAGTTTGGATTAGTGTTCCCTAAAGCAAATGGAATAGTTATTAAGGTCATTTAAGTGCAGTTCCCCTTGAAAGTATAACAATAAACTTAATGACTCTCCAGTCTTTCACAATCTAAACATGTTGATAGTTCATAAGGAAAACAGAGTTTTCTTAACATCCCAGAAAAAGAACAAAGCAAATAAAAATGGTGACAGTCATTATATTCCTATATTTCAGCTTTGCCCTTTTAACTAAACTAAAGTTAACCAGAAAAACAATTGTAGAGTCCCAGAGCTTATTGCTGAGTGTATCAAGACATTACAGTTCTATAATTTCAGTTTAGCTGGTTATGGATTGACTCAGAATTGTTAATTATTTTTCTCTGGATGCCGAATGGCTTTATTTAATGAAATCAACTTGTGATGATAAATTCAAATGAGTACTGACTTGGCCACTATAATAATTAATCCCTTCTCTAGGCTTTTTTAAACACACACACACACACACACACACACACACACACACACACACACAATGGAAAATTAAGTAGTTGTTTGTTTGTTTTTTTTAGTACTACACAATTCCAAAACTATCTTTCCTGTCTTAAGTTCAAAAATCAACAATCATCTCTTAAAATAAATTGATTCCCCTCTGTATCATAAGTTGGCACCATTCTAGACACTGTTAGGAAGCTTAAGGTTACTATTCTATTGACTATAAATGCGTGACCATAATAACAAATAATACACCAGATAGTGATGAGTACGATAACGTTCTCTGTTTTTCTTATACCATTTCGGCGATGGCCAAAATTTTGTTGCTCTTTTTGGACACTGCAGTTCAATGGAATGATGTCTTCACAGTAGCAATTCTCAAACTTTTTCGTTTCAGGACCCCTTTATATTCTTAGAAGTTATTGAGAGATCCCAAATTTGTTTATGTGGGTTTATTGTATCAATATTTATTGTATTAGAAATTAAACTGATAAAATTTTAAAACATTTATTCACTTAAATTAATAATAATAAACCCATTATATGTTAACATAAAATAACATTTTAATGAAAATAACAAAATCTTCTAAAACAACAAAAAATTAAGTAAGAGTGGCATTGTTTCACTTTTTCTTTTCTAATTCCTTTAATGTCTGACTTAATAGAAGACAGCTAAATTTTCATATCTGCTTCTGCATTCAGTCATTTTGTGTTTTGGCTGAAGTATATGAAGAAAATCTTGCCTCACAGATACATAGTTGAAAAAACGAAGAGTATTTTCGTAGGCAAATAATGTCTTAGTTTTATTATAAAAATAGTTTTGCCCTCTAACACCCCCAGGGATTCACAGTCCACACTTCAAGCATTGCTGGTCTACAAAGACCAAGTTTATTTTCTACTTTGTAATTGATAGCTCAGAGCCCTTCATTTTATGAGTTTCATCATTTTTCTCAAATTATAATTCATATGCCACTTTCCTTCCCACTTTCACAAACTCATGAGATTTTTTTTCTATCATTTATCTCCATTGTCTTTGCTGTTTGCAATTTGGAAGAATTTAGTGTCATCTAATAATTTGCACGTTCCCTCCTCCAGATCATTTATTAAAATGTTAAATAAGACTGAACCAATGATTTCTGAGGAATTGAGCACTTTAAATTTCTCCTTTCACAAAAGTATCATTTATCCCTATCATTTGTTTCCTGTCTGTATCATAGTTCCATATCCATGACAGGGAAGCCTCCTCCTCAGTCTTATTGTGACTGAATCATTATTTTAATTTTTGGTATGGAACCTTGTGAAGAGGGTTTTAGAAAGGTTAAGTAAATCTCTAATTTTCTGCTTTATTTAACCCCTCCAAGAATTCCATTAAGTTATCCAAGCAAATTCTACCTTGTTCCCTTCAGCAAGCATTTATTAATAACTTCCACTGATCTGCTATGAGGAGGTTATACTGTGGAGAGTATTCTACTTGGGAGGGGGGTGGGGGAATCTATTATAATATACACAGAAAGGCAGGGAGAGAGCAGCAATTCTGTCTTTTAAAAAAATTTAAAAGGTAAGGCCCAAGTTTACTCCAATCCAAGGTGGCTTAGTTTTTCATATCTCAGCCTCATCATTCAACTAAAACTCTTGTCTCCAAAGTTACCAATGATCTCTTAACTGGTAAATCTAATAGCTTTTTCTCACTTCTCCTTGTTCTTGTCCTCTCTTACAACCTGTTTATCACTGTTGATCACCCTCTTTTCCTGAATGCTCTTTCTAGATTTTTGTGACAATTTTCTCTCCTGAACATTACATTACTTAATAGTTGATGATATAGTCTACCCATCTTATTGTTCTGTTTGGTCTGTTTTCCCAGGCCATGCCAACTGACTATGGGTGTTCTGCAAAGCTCCATCCTCTTTTCTTCTCTCTCTACAGGATCTCACTTAGTGATTTCAGGTCCCATGAGCTCAATTATTATCCTTCTGCAGTGGATTATCAAATATAATCATCTAACCCTAACTTCTTTTCTTCCTTGTCCCACCCTCTCCCAGTCTTGCATCATTAATTGCCCATCCTGGGGGCAGCTAGGTGGCACAGTGGATAGAGCTCTGGCCTTGGAGTCAGGAGGACCTGAGTTCAAATCCAGCTTCAGACACTTGACACTTACTAGCTGTGTGAGCCTGGGCAAGTCACTTAATCCCGATTGCCCCACCAAAAAAGCAAAAAAAAAAAATTAATTGCCCATGCTGAATGGGAGATACTTCTATATGTATATTGTTTCCCTAATAGCATGTCAGCCCCTTGAGTGCAAAGACTATTCCATTTTTGACTCTCTGTGTTCAGTACCAACCACATGGCTTAGCACAAAATAGATACTTAATAAATGCTTATTGATTGATTGGTCCAGACTTTTTATTTCCACCTTGGCCTAGAACAGTGGTCTCCTCATAAAAGGTAATTAATGGAGAAGCAAAATGATTTTTGACCCTGCGTTCCTTGGTTATATACCCCTAGTACACTGCACTTGGACTGAACTGAAAAAACTGACTTTCCTAAGGCCAGTGGACACTGAACCATATGCAGTGACCACTTGCTTTCAGCAAGTTATATAATGATTTATGCCCTCCCCATCCCCAAAGGAAGCCACTGAATAAAATGTGGGCTTATGAGAAGTAAAGCAAACAAACTTTTAAAAAAAATAATAGATATAAACAAAACATTACTCTTAAACTGAGGGGTAGGGACCTGTGCTCTAAATACAGATGACAAAAGGTTATTAGATCGCTACCAGCTTGCATAGGAAAGAGGGATCATACAAGTCTTTATGGAAAGGCTAGTATTTAAGCTAGGCCTGTAAGTCAGTAGAAAGGAAGAAGACATTTAAGGCCTAGGGAACAGTCTAAGCAAAAGTAGCGAGGTGAGAAAGTGTAGCGCTTATTCACAATGTAGAAAATAGTCCAGATTAGCTAGTATTAGAGTGAGGCATGTGAGATACATCTGGAAAGCCCAGTTAGATCCAGATTACAGTGGAGCTTAATTAACAGAAGAAGACATTTGTATTTCATTCCATAGGTTGTGAAGAAGCTGTTCTCAGTTTTTGAGCAGTAGAGTGAAATGATTGGAATTGTGCCTTAACAAGATTAATCTAGCACAGTGGATAGAGCACTGGCCCTGAAGTCAGGAGGACCTGAGTTCAAATGCGCCCGCAGACCAAATACTTGACCCTTACCAGCTGTGTGACCCTGGGCAAGTCACTTAACCCAATTGCCTTTAAAAAAAAAAGGATGATGAATCTAGCAGCTTTGTGTTTAATGGATCAAAGCAGAGTTCAAAAGCCATGGTAGTAGTACAGGCTTTTGCTAGTGCCATGGCAATGGTAGAGAAAAGGATGAGGACTGATAAGAGAGCTAATTTAGAGGGAGAGTTGATAATTCTTGTTTACTTATAACTAGTAGAGTATAACTTTTGATATAACATTGAAAAGGGTGAGATTCTTGTAACCAGATTGCACTGAGATTGCATAGCTGGGAAGAACCTTTAGCCCTTCATTGTGAAAATAAGTCCACATTCAATCAATTCTTTGGAGTATTCTTCCTTCATTTTTTTCAGATATTTTGGTAAAAGAGCTCAGTGGGACTGCAGAGGTGCATCAAATCTAGGTGAACTTCATCAGCTATTAAGTAATATAATGATCAGGAGATTAAAGACTGAAGTTTTAACCCAGCTACCCCCTAAAATTAGACAACGTATTCCATTTGATCTTCCATCTGCAGCAGCAAAGGTAAGGACCCCTTACTTTTTTGAAAATAATTTTCTAAGTTATTTCTAAAAATAATAAAGTTATTGGAAAATGTGCATTTAAAAATATTTGCTGATAGAAAAAGCTGCTTACCTGAAACAGTTGTTATTAATTAGGGCATCATTTCCCAGACTACATTGTATAGTAGAATCCTGCTGTTCAAAGTGAATAGGTGCTCCTTGAGAAAATTTCAATGTTGTAACTGTCATTGAAATACTAAATGATTAAACATGAAGTGTATTTTAAAAACATTGGATGCTAAATTTTTTCATATATAAAATTGGGCTGAATTCTACTATTTTGCTCTAAAATCTCCTTCCCCAACCTTTATCCTGGTGGCATCCTATGCTCTCTGGGCCAGTGTTGATGAGTTTTGTCAAACCCAAAAGTGTTTCAGAGCCAAATGAGTTTAGGGAATACTAAATTAGAGAAAATAAACTGGTTTTTGTGTCCTTTTGGTACATGAAGGCTGAAAAGAAATATAATTACAGCTTTTAAGTATGTGGAGAAACAGTCTTTCCCCTTTTCCTCTGATGACAGAATAAGAGGAATAATATTACACCTAGAAGTATTTTTCTTGAACATTAAGGAAAGATTTATTTCCTCAGAGCTTTTATGAAACACTGAAATTAATTATTAATGGTGGTTGTGGAGTCTTCTCCTCTAGAGATTTTTGAGGACAGGGTAGTCCACTGTCTACTTATATAATTTGGATATAGTTCTGCCCCAGAGATCTGCTTCCAGTTCTGTTATCACTCTGTGAAATGTGCTAATCATCACACTAGAAAGCCAAAAATAAATTACATTGAAACCTCATATGCACTTACATCTGAAGAATTTAGTTTTCATATTGTTAAATCTGCTTAAATCTGGGCTTATATAAGAGGCTTTCTGACAGAAACTTCATCATCTTCCAATCTTGGTATATTTATGCCAAACATTTTTCCAACATTTCTTTCTAAAATAAGAATAAAGTGACTTTATATTCAGTTATTCCAGCACTGCAAATGGAAGTATAATTAAAGGAAGTCAATATCTGATTCTACTGCATTTTTAAAAAATTAAGTAACATTCCCCAAGTCTTTATGCCTGTTTAAATAAAACTATATCTTGCTGTAAAAGTAACTCGTTACCATATATTTTTTCTGTGCCCTCCTTTCTTATATAATTAGATTTTTTTCTTCTTGCTTTGCAAATTGTTTCTCCTTAAGAGAAAGCTCTTTGTGTTTGATTTATGATGTTAGCAAAGTGCTTTATTTTCACCCACAGCTTGTCATTGGTTTCTATAATTGGTAGGAACATGTGACTGACCTACCTCTGCATTGACGTTTTTGTATGAGCAAGCTGGTATCTTTGGGAATTTTCTCTTCTCTCCGTACCTTTCTGTAGCAGAAAAAAGTAGGACATAATTCACAGTTACATTAATTGTTCTGCCCTTTATGCTGTATTTCTAAACATTGTTCTTTCCTCCCACATAGGAATTGAATACTAGTTTTGAAGAGTGGGAGAAATTAATGAGGGCTCCACATTCAGGTGCCACCGAGACTGGTAACCACTTTTTTCAAGCCATGGGGCTGATGACCCGCATGTTTAAACAAACAGCTATTGCGAAGGTATTCTTGAAATTTCTGTGTAATTCTATTTTATTCTTGATGAAGATTATTTTAAATAATTTAGTTAGTTTAACATCTTATTTTTAAGACTGCCCCTTGCATCATTCTTCTCATTCACTTCATCCCTATATATAATGCTTTCCCACCCACTCATGCTGAACCTTACAAAAACCTTATTATCTTCTGTTCTGGTGGTTCCATCTTATCTGTATGTCAAATTGTCTTTTAATTAAATGTAGCCATACTTTATCTTCAGTTTTAAATATATATAGACATATATTTCTATAGATGTGTGTATGCATATATGTGTGTATGTATACATGTGTATATATGTGTATACATAATAGACATACACCTACATACACATACATATGTGTGTACGTGTGTGTATACACCTCAGTTTGCTTACTTTTTTTTTGTAAATGAAGTTATTTAAATCTGCAAGTTGTGATTATAAAGTAGAGTCATAGACTTGGAGGCACCTTAGATTAGAGGTCAGCTGGTCCAGTGGTGTCAAACTTATATAGAAACAAACCCCTGCAGGCTGAACAATGATATAAAAATCCGCAAATCAATACAATCTGTGTTGTATTTATTTTGTTAAACATTTCCCAATTACATTTTTATGTGATTTGGAATGTACTTGGTAGTTTTGTAGACCTTGAGTTTGACATCTCTGATCTAGTCCACCCTTCTTCTTTCACACATGAGAAAAGTAAGATGGAGAGATGTGATTTCTGCAAGTATTACAGTGGCCAAGCTGGGAACTGAGTCAAAGCTTTCTGACTCATATTCCATGATACTACATCATGCTGATTTCTACATTAGGACACTGGGATTTTTTTTTCCTATCTTACTAGAATTTATGAATCTAAATGAATCACCGAATGTCACAGAAATCAGAGGTGTAAGATGTCATCTTAGCTTGTATAACTCTTACCTGGAGGACATTGTCCACCTTGTAATGATTCTACCTCATATGGTAAGCCCATTTAATTTTCAGCTATCTGGTTAGTAATATCTTCTTTGGTTGTGAGATGAAATCTGTCTTCCTTATAATTTATACTCATTCTAGTTTTTCCCATCTGAACTATGTAGAATGTCTAATTCTTCTTCTATGTGACAATCTTTGAAGTAGCTGAAAACAGCTTTTATGTACCCTCTATAATCTTCTCTTCTCCACTCTAAAAAGTTCTGATATCTTTGATCATTCCTTATGTGAATTATAATTTCAAGTTCTTATATCACATTGGTCTCCTCTTCAGAATGAACTCTAGCTTTTCAGTCTCTCTCTCTCTTATGGTGGAGTACTTAAAATTGCATACACTATCCAAATGTGGATTTACCATTACAGATTACAATGGAATTCTAACTCACCATATTCTGAACACTATCCTTCTTTTAATTCAACCCAGGATCACATAGGTTTTGAGCTCAAAGCAAGAAAACCTGAGTTCTAATCCTGTCTCTGACACAGCCTAGGGTTACTAACCTCTCAATACTACAGACAACTCTCAGAGATTATAAGTTGCAGAACAGTTTCTTATCTGTATTGGTCAAAGGAGTTTCCTCACTGGGGTTTCCTTATGCAAATAAAATCACAGATTCCTCAGACCAAAATGGAAGATCATTTTAGCTGTTTTGGCTGCTCAATTTTGCTTTCAAATCATAGTCAAATAAAACCCATGCATCTTTCTCTTTATCAGCTACTTCTTAATCTTTTTAAGAAGGACCACAGCCATTCTCATTTACTTTCCTCACCCCACTCCTTTTCAGTTCTCCCTTTTTGTGTTATCTTCCCCCATCAGAATGTAACCTCCTTGAGTAGGTACCATCTTATTTTCTTGTATTTGTATTTCCAGGGCATAGCTCAGTGCCTGGCATATAGGAAGTACTTAATAAATGTTTTATCTGTCATTCTCCTTCCTCTTCACTCACCCATATTTCTGATCCAGCCTAATTAGAAATGATCTTTCTGTATTTGAACTTCAAATAGCATTTAGTATGTACTGTTCCATGCATTCTTTATATTTCCTCTATTTTCCATTATAATTATTGTATGGTTACTGCATATTTATGCACATTTTAAACCTTTGTTAGAATGCGAGTTTTATTAGTGAGGAAGTAATGTCTTGTCTCCTTGCACAGTAGTTTGCAAGTAGATTTCTTATCTCATCCCTGTGGGTATTCAGTACAGATTGTAACCCATTTATAGCTTCTCATTCTGAATGATTATTGTCCATGTTCTTCCATAGTTTATTCATAGAGATCAACTCATTATGTGGAAAGCTGTCCTTTAGGTCTTTTTATATTTCAAAGGTACCAACTAGAAGGGTCCTCAGCTTTTCTACCTGTTATCTCTCACTCATGTGACATGCTTGACTAACTGTCTTTTCCTATAATACATATTCTCAGTGATATCCCTTACCCACTTATTTGAGTGAATGATGTCAATATACTGCAGCTTTCTTGTGCTCACTATGAGTCTCTCCATTGTGTTTTGCATCAACTAAAACTTAAATTGTTTGGAGGTCATGGTGGTACAAGATTTGTAACCAAAGAATATCACTGGGAGAATATTCGCATTAAAAATATGGTTCTTTTCACCTGGAAAAAAGCTTGGGAACATTAAAAGCATAACAGTTTCCTAAAATTGGATCTTGCCTGCTCTTTTCCTTTTCAATCCTATGGCAAACTTATTATTCATCTACCATGCCTTTTTTCTTATTTTGTACTGATCAACTAACTCAATAAACTGTCCTTCCAAAAGTGCTTGTCATAGTCAGGACAGTAGACATTTCCATCCATTTCGTTTTGTTTGTATTGATTGCTAGGTTGATCTTTTTTGAATAATCAGAAGACTTCTTTCATTCGAATCCTGTGAAAGAGATCTACAGCAATGGGAACAACTTTGGCAAGTGTATATCTTCCTATTCTGTATGTCCCTTGGCATTAATAATGTGCCTGTCATTGTATAGGGCTTTTTCTCAAGTGTGATCTTAACATGCATACATACATAGACACACACATATATCTTCTTTAAGGCTTCTTTAAGGCTGAATTTTGCTTTACCAAGTTAAATACTTCCTTGTGATTAACAGATGATAGCTGTAGCAATATCTTTCAATCAGTTGTGAGAATGTAAAGAATATAATTTACTGTAGAAAATCATTTAAATGAGTATATGGATAGTTGAATGAATGCATGTATGTATGCATGAATGAATGAATGAAAAAGCAATTACTAAGAGTTTAATTTGTACAAAGTACTGTGCTAAGCACTAGCAATACTGAGCAAAAAAGATTCCAAGCTCATATTCCAATGAGGGAGACAATAGATACAGATGGTTTTAGCTACAAATCAGGTGGAACACAGTCCATAGGGTACAGCAGCAAAAAAGATGGTAATACATCTTTTAAAATGTCATTTCTACTGATAAAATCCTATCAGTTTCTGATATTGAATCATTTGACAGTGCCAAGAACTTTGGTGGCAAGAACTTTCTTTTCTGTATTTATCAGCTGTGGCTCTAATGCTTGTGAAAGCCTTTCTATTCTTTTCACCAAGGATACTTTCAATATGGATATAAATCATTCTTAAAAAGATGAGAAAGTAGGTTCCCTGATTACTAATGTTCTCTGTCAACTTTTTGTTAGTATTAACATCATGAGTTTTCTGAGATATTGTAAAAATACTCTTCTGTATTTTCTAGATTGTGTTATTTCCAGCATGGCTTTTCTTGGTTTATACTCAGCTTGGTCTAGCCCTTCTTCCCAATTTCATCTTCCTAAATGCCATTTCTACTTTTCATATGTTACTTTAGGGACTAAGACAGGAATGGGGAACCAGAGCTGTCATGATGATCTAAAGAGATTTTGGGAAAGCACATGTGACTTCAAGGCCAGAGGTTCCCCACCCTGGGACTAAAGTGTCAGATTCCCCCTGTTGATGAAAATACATTTTTATAATAACATTGATTTTTTTTTGTGTCTGTATGTTTTCCTCACATGTCTGTTTTCGGAATACTATAGGATGATATAGCTTATTTGGCTCAAACTAGGCTTTCTTAATATTTCTTTTCAATTCTGTTCCTTTTCACCATTTTATTAGGCAATATTCCTTTTAATTATCTACCATCTTCCATTGTAAGATGTTGGAAACAAGATAATAGTCTAAATCAGTGTTGCCCCCTAGTTTCCATCTCTTTCTCTGTAGCAATGAGTTCAAGTTTTGGCTGACTGAGGAAGTTAGAGGCTCCTTTAGACTTCTTATTTTGGTAATTTGATTAAACTTCCTTAGGAAATGGTGATCACTTGTGTCAATATCTGTTCCTTTATTAATTCCCTATTTTTTCACAGAAATTTTGATTTAGTCTTGACCTGTGCTATTATTAGTGAAGGAAATTCCTAGAGTGGACAATCTCTCCACTGACAATGATTGGCACCTGTAACTTGGAGTCTTAGAGAGTTGCCTGGGAACTTAGAGGTTAAGCAACTTGGCCAGGGTCACATAGATAGTATGTGTCAGAGACAAGACTTGAGTTCTTAATGATTTCACATATGACTGTCTGTCTGTTGTACTATGCTGCCTTCTTTAGTGTTAATTTATAGCTTGTTTAAATAGGTCACTGTGAACCTGTTTTTAATTGCGTATAATATCTTCCTATCAACTCTGTTCTTCTAATTTGGTGTTGTTTTTGATCTTTGTTCAAAAAAGTTGTTGGTATGAGTATAAATAGTTGATTAAAAATGACTTTCATATCAGTAACCATTTATTTTCTGATTGTTAAAACATAGTTATAGAATTGACTGAAAGGTACAGAGAATACAAGATCATACTGTGCTAATTGTTTGGTATCTATGAAAAAGCATTTCATTTTGTAGAGTAGAACGCTGACTTTACTGCTTTCTTCCATGATGTATCCCATGCTAAGATAATAAAAGGTTATTTAATGAATTCAACAACAGATATAGCTTTGTTAATTTAATCTGTTAATATCA